TCCATGGACCCGGGATATGTCCAGGGAGCAAGGACGTGTCCATGGAGCCGAGATGTGCCCATGGAGCCGAGACGTGACCCTGGAGCCGAGATGTGCCCCTGGAAGTGGGATGTGCCTCTGAGCTGGAATGTCCCTGCGGCCAGGTGGTCAAGCACTGGCATAGAGAATTGCCCAGGGAGGTGGTGGAGTCACCATCCCTGCAGGTCACAGCAAGTGAGCGGTTGACAGTAGGACTCGATGATCTTAGAGGTCTCTCCCAGCCTCGATGGTGCTCTGATCCCGTGCAGCCGGGATGTCCCCGCGGAGCCGCTCGGAGGGGATGGTAGTGGGCAGAGCTCAAGCAGTGCCTGCACACAGGTGTCCCAGGCACAGCCACGATCGGCTTTGCGTGGCAGCACATACCCAGTACCAGCCTCTGCTCAGCCCCAGCTCTGGTTCCTCTGTCCCTGCCTGGCACAGAACGAAAAGCCAAATAAGGATATCAAAGGATATTCAGAGTTGGAAGGGACCCACAAGGATCATCAAAGTCCAACTCCTAACCCTGCATGGGAGAGCCCCAAGGATCATACCATGTGCTGCAAGCATTGTCCAAGTGCTCCCTGAGCTCTGTCAGGCTTGGGGCTGTGCCCACTGCCCTGAGGAGCTCTTCAGTGCCCAAACACTCCCTGGGGGAAGAACATTTTCCTAATATCTAACCTAAACCTCCCCTGACACAACTTCAGGCCATTCCCTCGGATTCTGTCACTGATCACCAGAAAGAAGAGATAATTTTTAGGTTTGTACCTAAAGCTCTATAGATAGTACAGAGTCTGTGTAATCTACAGTCTATTTAGGAATATAATTTAGTGGATGTGGCTGTTATGTCATAATATCCCCAGCAGAACTATCCTGTCCCACATTTTAGGTCACTTCGGTGTGCTGAAGTGTCACAGGTGTTGAGATGACACCAAACCCTTGGCTGTTCTCAGGGGATGGAGGACAGTGAATAAACCAATACCAAGCCCCAGATGTATTCAGCTCTAAAGAAAACATTTGTCTCTTTTATAAGATCTTCGCTATTCCATTGTTAATAAATACAAGCAGAGCTTGACTACCATGTCAGGTGAAAGGACTGTAGGACTCTAGGTAACCAGTCTATAGAAGCAAGTTTGAGTTAATGGAGGGCTTGAAAGAGGGAGAGAATGAGCACATCTCTGTCCAGACTTTTGCATGTTCCTCTGTTCTCCTCTGCACACTGTGGGAAACCATTCAGGTTGCAGAGGGGATATTTTTGGGGAAGACCCACTGTGGAGACCAACCACTGTGTATGGGCTCTTTCCAGAGTCTCAGGAAATGCTGTTCTAAGTCACTGCAGGGAAAACATGCAGCTAAGAGGGAACATGCATCTACAAGATGAGTGTCTCCACCTTGAACTGTGGCTCTGACTTAACCACTAGTGGAGGAAGTTGGTGTATTTGCTGTGAGATTCCAGAGGCTGGAACTGCACAGCCAATGCCTCTTGTAACTCTTACATCCTCTTCTTTTGGGGACACCTAAGAATTAATCTAAGGATTCAGTGAGTACATCTCTGGACCTGCCTGAGCTGTACACTGAAGTGTTCACTGAGGATCTGCATTAGCAGGTCCAACTGCTTCAGGCAGGGAATATTAGACAGATCAGCTGTATTCCTCATGCACATTGGGGAGAGCAGGGGAAGAGGGGGCAAGAGAGCAAGGATTTGTGCCTCTGCTATACCAAAATGCCCCATAAAGACAGAAACTTTGCTACAATATACAGCAAAACATGAATCTGTTCAATTCCCTTTTCCTTTAACAATAGGCACAGAGATAAACCACAGAGTTCTAGAAATCCAGCAGCAGGACAATGAGGGCCAAGCAGCTCGCACAAAAGCTGTCAGAATGTGCTAACAAGGCGAGGAGTCAGATGCCACAGTGAGCTGAGCAACATGAAACAGGAGCATTCACAGCAGGCAGAGTCAGAAGCAGCTTAGAGAGCCAAATCACTAGCAGATAAATCGTCAGTGGTACGTTTTACTTACAGATCTCACCATTTATCTTGTTTCTATTTGGCTTCTTGTGATTTTGGGCTTTGGTAATTTTTCATGAGCTCGGTGGGGTTTTTTCACATGCTACTGTTTTATTTCCCCTGAGGATGGATGTTGATATTAGTGCTTTTTCTTTCAGTTGTTTGCCAGTGGGAGACACAATTGTTTTTCTTTTGACAGAGTTTTGTAAAAAACAGGTGTGTACAGTAGATATGTATCTGCACAAGATAGGGGTTCAAGGATATAGGGATTGGCAAAAGGCTCTTGTCAGATGATAAGGCAAAGTGATCCCCTCTCCCTTCTCAGCCTTCTCAGAAGGAAGTATGCACACAGAAACCACATCCTCCAGTGACATTGGTGGAGATGAGATTTTGGCTCGTGCTGTCTAAAAGCTCCATATTCAGCCACGTGCAAGCTCAATTCTTTGCCTCTATTTCCTTGTACTCTTAGGTAGGTAGGCAATACCATTTCTCTGTCCATACTGTGCATCTGACCCTTCATCATACCTCTTTTGCTTTATTTCTTTTCTGACTGCTGTTGTTACCATTTATTATCATACATAAGTGGTCCAGAAAGAGAGAAAGAGACATGACCAAAATTGCACATTTGTCCAGGTGAAGACAAATCTTTGCAATATATCATGGTATTAAAATACTTTTGATATCTGGCACTGTGTTGTCTTTAGTCCTGAAGAGTCAATACTGTGTGTGGACAAGGCACACAGGAATTTAGCCTATGGGAGACAGTGTTTGTCTGTGCCAGCTAACTGATTCTTGGTGGTGCATTGCCCCTCTTTGGCCCTGAAGCTCTTTATAAGAAACAAGTATTTTTTGAGGTGTACAGAAAACTTGGTGGTGCATTGCCTCTCTTTGGCCCTGAAGCTCTTTATAAGCAACAAGTATTTTTTGAGGTGTACAGAAAATTTGTGTCTAAGCATCTTTCATCTACTGGGTAGCTGAAGTTTAGGAAGAACAAGCTGTTTGGATAATGGAATCCTTTGTTTAGATCAAAATGAAACAGTTTATGAATTTGGCACTTGAAGATGATATTGTTTCAACATGTGTGTCATTATTTTAAGGGGACATAGGTAAACACCTTTTGTTTAACTACCAATATGATTTCGTGTGCAGAAAAAAGGAAAAATAAAAGTTGCTCTCATCATTATTTTTGTATTTGTAGTGCTGTAATAAAATAAAATTGCCTCACAGTCTTTCCCCAAATGCTAAATTAGATTAGAATAGTTACAGATCAGTCAGTTATTATGCTTTAAAATAATGTCCAAGAGCTTTTGGTCCACTTTTATTTGATAATACATAAGTGAGACATAGGTACAAAAATGCAATTTTATTTATTTCAGTTAGCACTGATGTCTGAGAAGAGAATAAATAGAAAGTGCACTTTAAGGCCTCGATTCCACAGCCAGACAAGGGGCATGGAACTCTTGCCTGTGCGTGGGCACTGATGTGCACAGACATACCATCTGCTGCAGCATCAGGGCCTTTGCTAAGAGTATAGCCAAGATTATGAATTACAGTTCACTAGTTACAAGTACATCTCTAGCCTTCAGCAGATTGCAGTTATATTTGTAATGATTTAGGAGGTTTTTCCTGGGCTCCCCAAGGCGTGTTAGACATCAAACAAACAAATGAGAGTCAACATGGGAACATACATGCAGCTCCTTTGGCTTAGGGCAGCAATTCCTTAGGTTTGAGCTCTGGCAGTGGCAAATTTGGAGGCACTCACCATTA